TGGTGTGGTAGTTTGAACATTCTTTGGCATTGCCCTTCTTTGGGATCGGAATGTAAACTGACCTTTTCCAATCCTGTGGCCACTGTTGAGTTTTCCAAATTTGCTGGCATATTGAGTGTAGCACTTTTACTGCATCGTCTTTAGGATTTTGAATAGCTCAGCTGTAATACTGTTGCCTCCACTCTCTTTGTTGTTGCTCAGACTTTCTAAGGCCCATTTGACTTCACATTCCAGGATGTCTGGCTCGAGGTCAGTGGCCACCCCATCGTGGTTATCAGGGACGTTAAGTTCTTTCTTGTATAGTTCTTCTGTGTAATCTTGTCACCTCTTCTTAATCTCTTCTGCCTCTGTTAGGTCCCTGCCATTTTGGTCCTTTATCATGCCCATCTTTGCATGAAACATTCCCTTCCTATCTCCAAGTTTCTTGAAGAGATCTCTGGTCCTCCCTATTCTATTGTTTTCTTCTATTTCCTTGCAATGTTCATTTAAGAAGGCATTCTTATCTCTTCTAGCTATTCTCTGGAATTCTGCATTCAATTGGGTGTATCTTTCTCTTTTTCCCTTGCCTTTTGCTTCGCTTCTTTCCTCAGCTATTGGTAAAGCTTCCTCAGACAGCCATTTTGCTTTCTTGCATTTCTTTTTCTTTGGGATGGTTTTAGTTGCTACCTCTTGTACAATGTTGCGAACCTCCGTCCATAGTTCTTCAGGCACTCTGTCTATCAGATCTAATTCCTTAAATCTGTCACCTCTACTGTATATTCATCAGGGATATGATTTAGGTCATACCTGAGTGGCCTAGAGCTTTCCCCTACTTTCTTCAATTTAAGCCTAAATTTTGCAACAAGAAGCTCATGATCTGTGCCACAGTCAGCCCCTGGTCTGGTTTTTAATAACTGTATAGAGCTTCTCCATCGTTGGCTGCAAAGCACATAGTCAATCTGATTTCTGTGTTGACTGTCTGGTGATGTCCATGTGTAGAGTTGTCTTTTGGGTTGTTGGAAAAGAGTGTTTGCTATGACCATCGTATTCTCTTGACAAAATCCTACCAGCCTGTGCCCTGCTTCATTTTGTACTCCAAGACCAAACTTGCCTGTTACTCCGATTATCTTTTGGCTTCCTACTTTAGTATTTCAATCCCGCATGATGATAAGGACATCATTTTTTGGAGTTAATTCTAGAAGGTGTTGTAGGCCTTCATAGAACTTCAGCCCCTTCAGCACCAGTGGTTGGGGCATAGACTTGGACTACTGTGATGTTGAAAGGTGTGCCTTGGATTCGAACTGAGATCATTCTGTCATTTTGGAGATTGTATCCCAGTACTGCTTTTCCTACTCTTTTATCGACTATGAAGACTATTTCATTTCTGAGGGATTCTTGCCCACAGTAGTATACCTGATGGTCATCTGAATTAAATTCACCCATTCCTGTCTATTTTAGTTCACTGTTTCCTAAGATGTCGATGTTCAGTCTTGTCATCTCTTGTTTGACCACATCCAGCTTGCCTTGATTCATGGATTTTACATTCTAGGTTCCTATGGAGTATAGATCTTTACAGCATCGGACTTTCCTTTCACCACCAGATACATCTGCAACTGAGTGTCCTTTTGGCTTTGACCCAGTCGCTTCATTCTTTCTGGCGCTACTAGTACCAGCCCTCTGCTCTTCCCCAGCAACACATTGAACACCTTCTGACCTGAGGGGCTCATCTTCCAGCATCATATCTTTTTGCCTTTTGGTACTGTCCGTGGGGTTTTCATGGCAAGGGTACTGGAGTGGGTTGCCTTTTCCTTCTCCAGTGGATCACGTTTTGTCAGAGCTCTCTGCTATGACCTGTCCATCTTGGGTGGCCCTGCATGGCATAGCTCATAGCTTCATTGAGCTACGCAAGCCCCTTCACCACGACAAGGCAGTGATGCATGAAGGGGACATGCCTTCCTACAAATTTCAAATGGGCTTTGATGTGGGTTTGTTTCAGCAATGGAGCATCTGGGTGTTAATTGTCCCATGGATGGTTTCTTCTGGATCTCATCAGCATCTTCTGAGTTACCATTGGCCTGTTGGTTGCTTCTCTGATTGATGCCATTCTTACTCAGTCACTTTTGGTTGATGGCCTTCTTTAGTGTCACAGCTTAGCAATATTCTTTGTATTTTGAAAGAATGAATTTAGTGCTCTGGAGGATGCTCATAGTTCGAGATTTTTTTCCTTTATAACTCAATCCAAATTGGTGTTTCTGACCAACTTTACTCCAGAATTGTTTAAATACAGTAGCTTTTTTGGTCTTCATGATGCTGTTTGGATACATCATTACAACAAACTGGGCCTCTCAGAAACAGGTGTATTTAATCTGAGATCCTGTGGCACTGGAATTGCTCACAGGTGGACTCCATTCAACTACTTACAGAATGTAACTTCTAGAGAACATGGGTTGTACCAAACTTTAGTCATGTTATAGCAAAGGGATAAATCCTTATACAACTGTGAAATGCCTGTTTGTTTTGGTTTACTTAACTTTTCTGCCCCAGTAAAAATATATTGCATGTTCATAGTGTTGAGTATCTAGTGTATATTAAATACATTTCAATTCCAGCTTATAACACGGAAGTCAAAGAGGGAGGGGTGGATACTTCTGCAAAGCAGTGTACATATGATTGCAGAACAAGCAGTCAGAATAAGGATATGTGCTCTGATTAACATTATAACTTCCTTCAGATCATGCAGCAGAAGAGACCAACTTGGTCCCTTTAAAATGAGTGATGTCTTTTGGCTTACAACGAGAGTGCAGAATCCACTTGCAGTGGGGCAATATGTCAACAATTGCTCCACAGGTAAGTAGCAATATTTTTTCCCTAGGTTAGATTTAGATGTTGATATTTCTATGAGCATAATAATGGCCATTTAGAAGATGAAGTTCAGAGCTCATGCTACTATCTTAACAGTGTTGCTTGCAGATGGTGTTCCTACGAGTGTTTGCGCCCATTTTTGAGTAGAAGAATGTGCCATCCAGGCAAATTTTAATTCCTTCATTGTAGTGGAATCCACATGGTTGCTCCATGTGGGGAACTAGTTTTAAAGCACCTCAATCTTCTTATTCTGATAGTAAAGGAATGGTGATTTTTGAGATTATGGTTTACTTGAGCAAAGTCAGAGATAGTAAAATGGAGCAACTCTTGGTGACTGTTTCAAATCTCCTTTTAAGTTTTTCCTTCTCCTTTTCCATCAGACAAAGCAGCCAATGTATGTTACCAGGAATTTGACCTACCTGAATGTTTTCCAATAGAATTTAAGCAATATCTTCCAAACATAAAGTATAGCCATGAAGTACAGAGGTGAGACTGAATAAGGAATTTCAAATATACAATTTTAAGACTGATAATTTGAATACACAATATTGTCAAGCATTTACATATTAATTTTTCAGAAATGTAATAGAGAGAAACTGACAGATATAAATATACATACTAGAAATTTAAAGGAATGTGCCTAATGATCTCCCCAAATTTGCCCTTTCCCTAATGTACAATCCACAGATCCCTTAGATGTGTTGTTCTGATTGCTCTCCGAAACATCATGCCAGGGGAAGAACTCTTCTCAAACTATTTCACTATTATCAGCTGAACCTGAGGAAACATTGCCTGGATAGCCTTTAACTTGTAAGGTTTTTATAATGAATTCACATAGGGGTAGGGTCCTTGGTTCATTCCTTTGGTCATGCCTTCTAATGAAAAAAGTATGACTGACCAGGTTTGCTGGTAATAGCAGGCCAGTTCACATATATCATGATGTGAGTTAATTATTAATTTTCTGGGTTGCATGTCCCAGGTGTACTGCTGTCCCTTCAAATATGCAACTTCCAATCATCTGTTGCTGTATTGCGTATGAACTCAAAGACTTCATGCAACCTCAAGTGCACCTACAATTAGTTAGGTTAACTTTGCCTTGTTTAACTCATTAACAACCAAAAGTGTCTGGGTTTGCATGTCATGCAGCATCCTATGAATAGACCAGTGGAAGGTTGCATATTTAAAGAGCCAACATCATGCACTCTGGCAAAGGTTGGGTTAGTTTTAGCCACAATTTGCTGCCATTAAATATAAATTAGTTTAAAGTTTCTACTTGCAAGTTTTACTGTTTCTCACCATGCATATTTATTTTCTGTTGTGTTTTAGGGGTATCTCTTAACAGCATAAGTGCTGAATCAGACCCAAGACCTACCTAGTAGAAGAATTTGTTCACATGTTGATGAGCAAACTCCCACTTGTATTCCCCAGCAACTGGTTTACACAGGCATCCTTCCTCTGAGACTAGCCCTAGTATGTAGCCATCGTCACCAGTAGCCATTGATAGTCTTCACCTCCATTAATTTAGGTAATTCCCTTTATAAACCATTGAAGTTGGTGGCCATT